ATGAGACTAATTTATTTTTCTTTACTATCTTTTTCCTCTTCTTTTTTTATTCATTTTATCTATCGTTTATTTTTCACTGTCTCTAATATGCTTTATTCCTTATTAAATGTTATTTAAATGCAATTGTCTTTTTAATTCTTGTTCTTTTCTTCTACTCTCTCCTAAACTTTTTTCACATCATATTCCCTAACACGCAATAATCTCTTGCGTCTTAGTGTCTTTATTGCCTTGCTTGGGGTGAAATGATTAAAAAATTATTCACCTTCATTTTGATTTCTTTTTCTCACTTTTCTCTTTCTTTCTTTCATTCATTTTATTCTCTCTTGCGTTTATTTTCTTTTTTTCATCGTCTTACTCTCTTTTCTAAAAGATAATTATTCCTTTTCCCCATTCGACGCATTTTGTGGGCTGTTATTCTCATGTTTGCCTTTTGCATTTCTCTTAAATGTCTGATGAACATCCCATCGTCCGGGACCCATAAGTATGGGAATAATTGTCCAGTATTTTATTTACTAGGTTTTAGACGTTTTCTCTTTTCCCTTGTTGATTTTTTAAATAATTTACGAGTGTTTCTTTCTTATATTTTCCCATTCGTTCCTCGTAATTAATCTATCTATTCAATCTGATAAAGTCTTTTTCGGCCATTTTCATCTGCACGCTTACACACTTGAAAAGATATACACATCTACATCCATTTATCTTCTTCGGGTCCTGTTTCTTTAGGACGAAGGAGTTCATGGCTCGCAACATTTTACTCTCATCTCTAGCATAAAGCGTTGTTTGTCTCGTTAATATGCGTAACAGTCTTAGAGTTACTATCAACTTATACACAACATATTAAACCTAGACCACTAAACATGCGCATATAGTACCCAGAACAAATTTTCCTATTTATAATTACAATTTTCAGTACCTGATTTTTTCCCCTAAATAATATGTTTTTCAATTCCTATTAATGTTAACTCAAAGTACAAAGTTTAAAGTGCTTGCATGTAAAATATTTCAAATAACGTTTCATATTTATTTTTCTTTTTTATATTTTAAAAATCGGTTATGATATACCCATGGTTAGTAGTGGTGTAACTTTAATTGATGTTAGGGTTAAGTAGCTTATTGGATACTTCTCTGTGCCCATCTTGCTCTTCAGTATGTGATAAAGCTTATTTCAATTTTTAAAATTTTGCTAAAATATTCGCTATTCAACTCACTTTTCACACGTGAGCTATCTATCTATCTATCTATCTATCTATCTATCTATCTATCTCATTCTATTCGTATCTATCTATCAGTCTGTCTGTCACATTTTGTTCGTATTTATCTATCTCATTCTGTTCGTATCTATCTAATTCTATTCGCATCTATCTATCTATCTATCTATCTATCTATCTATCTATCTATGTGTGCATCAATATGCTGCATCAATAAATCTGATGGTTATTAAAGAATACTATTTAATTTTCAACGTAATTTTCTTCACGCAAAAATGAACTTAACTTGGCGATGGATATAAATTAAACAAATCGAAGATTAGGCATTGAAAATTTCAGGTGAATTTTATAGAATAACTACGGCTGACAACTGACTTCTTGATTTAACCTTTTATATTGTGGCTCCATTAATTTTTTTCTTTTTTGTATTTACCCGAGTTTCTTCATATCTATCTATCACTTTCAAACATTTACTATTCGTTTATCACTATTTTCTGGGGGTAATTCTCTCTATACATCAGTCTGTCTTTCCCAACGACTATTCGACCGACTTCTTTCTGCTTTGTTCGTAAAAAAAAAAGATTTTGTATTGTCAGTTCTAGTCAACGTGGCATTCCTTCTCATTCCACTCTTATCATCGACATGAACTGAATGATAACCATATGCCTAGGATTTCAACTTCTTTGATAGTGAAGGTAAATGGAAAAGACGTTTGAAATTTTAGCAAACAACACACGATAGTAAACTCAAAGATATGTTGACGCTTACGCACACAGTAACATGTAATTGCAGTAATGTAAGTTTCATTAAAAGCATAGACAATTATACATTCGTGTGCACATGAATATATACGGGATCTCTCCGGAGAGAATCCAGTTGTTAATTTTAACGAAACCATAGTCTACAATGTGTAATTAATTTCAGATTTCTACTCTTAAGATCTGACAATCTATGCTATTTTTCAAAATTACTTATAAAGATTATTTTCGAGATCTCCACTGGCAGCTACATTGGGTTTTACTTTTTCTTGTTCCTTTTAACAGGTTTCGTAGGAAAAAAATCCCGAAGGCACATGGCATCAAGTACGCACTCTATAAAGCTGAGAGATTTCGGTGATCTATTTACAAAACAAATGATGTATGAAATGTCTGTACATTTGTCTACGGTGATTTAAAATAGACAGATTATAAGCTTACCAAATAACTGACGATTGAGTAACACCATATACAAATGTCTGTTCAGACATGCGCATTAATGATCCGTTATGATTGATTGTCATCTTATAAGTTGATATCGATGTTTTCAAAATGGTTGCAAATTTTCCAGGCAGACGTAATAAACGAACATTCACATCAAACTTAATGTAGAAAATTGCTATTATTCTTCCGTAAACTATTTGTGTTAGTATCCTCTTGTTTAGCTTAGTTACATACGTTCGATTTCTGCGAAATTAACAGCTGAGGCGTTTTGCATGTAATACATTCGGAGCACATTTCACATCAACGTCGCCTTTATCAATTTATTGAAGGAAACATTTATTATAGGATTTAAGATTATTGTAATCTACGGAAAATTAGTGTTGACAAAAATTTACTTACTAATCAAAAAATGCTTTTCAATCAACAGGGGTGTAAAAAGAAATTTTTCACATAAAAATAATCAGATAACTTAATTTTATTATACTATTATAGATTAGATTTCGCCTTTCTGCTAAACCACCGAGATCAAATCATAAAATATGTCGTTCATTTAGTCGTTCTTCCAGGATATTAAAATCTGGGTAAAATTTTGCTGAATGCTAAAATAGGATGGTACAAGGCCATCGCACTAAGGTAATAAATGGTCACTGAATTAATTAAAGAATTAATCTTGCCGTTTCTAAATGTCTCTCTACTGCGCATTTTATTAGTAAGATTTTCATAACATTCTTCATTAAATATAAAAAAAATCGTGAGTAAATAATAGATATGAAACATTTATATAATAAATATATGCATTATATAGATTTGAAATGCATAGAAAAATAGCGTTTCGGCTAAAACATTTCTCGAAATGTAAATAAAGAAATAAATGCAATTATGAAAAGACAGAAAAATACCAGCAAATATTAACAGGAAAAGCTAAAATGAAATAAGGATAAGAGTTCTCTTCAGTAATTTTCTCATATTCTGTAGATTTTTGAAAATTTCCTTGAAATTCTCATTTTTCCTTATTTTTGCTTTTAATATCTCTTCCGAATTCGAAGCATCGAAATGATTCGAGCACAAAATGAATAGGACAACTTCCTTATCGTGAAACACACACAAAAAAAGATGGAATTACAATTAAAACAAAAAATAACGGACAAAATTCTTTCCTCGCCTGAAGCCGGCTAGTTGAAGTGGGAAAATGATGGCGTCTGTTTAGTGGGAAAAGGAGACAAAATGCCTAAAAATAAACGATTTGAAGGAGAGTGGCTCATCGAAACGTCTTGAAATCAAGAATCATCGAGACTGGCAGGAGAAGTAAACGAGAAATCAATGACGTTTAGTTGTTAACAATCGCAGGTGCATATACTGGTCACGAAAATAGATTCAATTTGGTGATGATCGTTGTCGACTGCACATGCGCCGACAAGCGTTTATGAGACAGCGAAAGTTTGAAAGCTCATCATGGAATATCGTTCTAATTGTGTCGTGCTCTTTCATCGGTTTCATTCCGTTTTAAACTTTTTACTATGCTCCTGTGGTTCTGTACATAGGTGGAAATTACGTTATCACAGGTGTTCATTTTAACTAATGCATAACAGTACATATGCTGCTGGCTTCTGATGATTTTCTTGGAATGTTACTGTGTATATTAAATTAAGAATTTTTTTTATATATTTGTCCGTTAATCATGATCACAGTCTTTTGTATCTCGGATAGTGAAAGGTTTTATTTGATTTGTATCATGCTGGCATGAGTAATATTTGAAATCATTCCTCGTATCCCTATTAGTGGAATAATGGCTGTATTTAAATGTCATGTTTTTAAATATTGTCTTTCCAGGTTATGAAATTTTGTAAAATTGTCAAATTCATTTGTCGAGATATTTTTTCTTTTTTTACATCAGACTAGATGTCAATACTTGCGTGAGAGTAGCTACGTTTTTGAATTATTATTATTTTAGACAATTTCTTTTCGACTTGCATTTGTTTTATAATCAGATCCGGTCATAAACAATAACATAGAGCAAGTGAAGGTTGGCATATTTCAGCTATTTCCACTTAATTATACAAAAAAACAACTATTAACGAATTTTTAAATGGACAAATTTCTTCGCAGAATATTGGTTTTGCTTGTGTTTCGATTTACTGGCGAGATTGTGTACCAGAGATTTTGTTGATTTGTTTTTGAGTTCCTTTCTTTACCAGACACAAAACGCCAACCACAAAAGGAAGAATTTTAGTGTTTAAATTCCACTATCTCCAGGTTTTGTATTTTCTTCGTTTTTTTTTTTTTTTAAATCTCACGGTAAAAATGTTTTTATCACTTGATACGCTCGTGGTAATAAGTGTGCAACCTTGTTTTTTTCCTGTCATCTACAATACCGTTTGGACAATTTGTTTGTGTTCGGTCTGTGTCGATAGAAACATCTTAGGGGATAATAACTTCTGAACCCTCAACTACAAATCCATATTAATTTGCAGCTGTTTTTATCCTGTACAACAGATCTTTATGTAAATATATCATGGCATCCCGGTTTTTGTACTCATTATGTGTGAGTATTGACAATCACGTGATAATGAGATATATAGTTTCAATGTATTTACCAGGATAATCTTACTACGATAGAAGATATTAATTTGGTAGGTACGTGTAAGCAGGTACTGGTACAGTACAGCAAGAATAAACCCTTCTGTTCCACTGTTAATTCTTGAACTCCTAGTGGGTTTCAAATTGATCTACATCAGCATTATTATTGGTTTTGCAATGGAATGTGAGATATGCTAGTTAACGTTGACATATTTTGGAAATATATTATAATAATCTAGAATCGATACTTTCAGAAATTCGCCTGCATACGGAGAGAAAAATGATTCAGTGAATAGAGAAAAATAGAAAGGGATTTAAGACAAGGAGTCGTCTTCTCACCGGAATTATTCAAACTATACTTCTTTTCCTTTGTGCCGTGTCCCTTCAGGACATAGGCGAACATGGCTCTTCACTTCTCCCGTATCTATTGTAGCTCTCAATAAGTTTCGTCTCTCGGCTAATTCCCCCAGACCACGTTCTGTTATCCACTTGCCAGGTATGTAATGCGTTGCTTTGCCTTGACTCTCTTTCCCTCTATTCGACCTGTGAATATCAGATTCTCAAAGCCCTCCTTTCACATTACGTGTCCCAGAAATTCCATCTGCCTCTCCCTGATGTTAAGTATAAGCTTCCTGTTTGCCTGCATCCTCTCCAAAAGCTCATCGTTGCTCTCACGCATGGTTCATGATATCCTTAACATCCTTCAGTAGAATCATATCTCCGTTGCATCGAAATTCTTCTTCATCTTTGAGGAGAGCATCAAATCATCCAGACTCTCATTACTCTGCCCAGCTTTTAGAATGTGGCTTTGGCCATCACAATTCGTCTTCGGATCTCAGCCTCGCACATACTGTCCTCTGTTAAAACACTTCCCAGCTATTTAAACTTATTGATTTTAGAGTCCCCGACCCGCATATCGCATTTTTAGCGCATCCTTTTACTGATGACCATACCTTCTGTCTTCTTGTAGTTTATGCTTAGTCCCTTCTTCTCGCTATCCTTCGCTACCGTCTGTAGGAAGTTTTGTAATTTCTTTTCCGTGTCTGCTATCCGTACTTGTCATCGAGACGATCATGTAAGAAGTAAAAATCCTACCAGGATTCATTATTGGTTGCCATGATCTTAATAGCCTAAGCTATACAGATGATTTAGTGTCGATAGCAGGCACAGAAAGGAAACTATAATAACGACTACAGAAGGAAGTGAAGGAATGCGAGAAAAAAGGATTAACGTCAATTGCAAGAAGACAGAATGTATAGTTGTTAGAAAAATGGACAGCCTTAAATGGAAATTACAAATTGGAGAACCCAGAATCAAATAGGTACAAAAATGTAAATATCTTGGAAGTGTTTAAACTGAGGATGGAAAGTGCGACGCTAAAATTTAAAGGCGCACTGGGATAGCGAAATATGCATTCCAAAACTAAGCAAATATTACGAAAGAGAAAAACGAAAAAGAATACTTTTAAAGTTTATACCAGTCCTCTTATATGACAGGGAATGGCGGACAATCTCCTCACAGATGAAGATGAGATTTACGACAAAATAAATGTGATTCTAAAAAGGATGCTGGGTCTGTCATGAATAAACATGTAATTAAAGATGACAAAAAAAATTATACTTAACATCAGAAAGGGACAGATGGATCGTCTAGGTTGCATATTAAGGAAAGAGTGCTTGAAAAATTTGATACGTACAAGACAGATTGAAGAAAAGAGCAGCAGATAAATTAGCATAAAACTTACGTAGATAGTTTGAGAAAACGGATGACAGAACAGCATTTCGGAGA